TTTTTTTTTTTTTTCTAGAACTCGAAAGCGTTAAGAAGATTATCGACAAATATCATACACGTAACAAAGTGATGTTCTTTGGATTTTGCGCGATAGGAGCTTGCCTAGGATTCGCACTGCTGTGCTTCACGCCTATGGAGAACGGTTTGCCGATCAGGGCAAAGTATCCCTTGAACACGACCGTATCACCTTGGCACGAGATCAGTTTCTTCGTTGAAACTTGCGCCGTATCTGGCGGTCTGTTAGGAATAATCGTAATGGACAGCATGACGACTTTCAAGTGCAGCTTGATCACGATGCTATTGGACGCGTTGAATGTCAATTTTGAAAATTGTAACTATGAAACGAAGCAGGTAGATACGATAAGATAAGAATTTCGATCTCTTTTCAATTTTTCAAATTAAATAGAATTAAATTTTCCTTTCTTCTTTTACAGACGAATATATACAAGGAAAAACGGAATAATAATAATAGATTCCTCGATCGTTACAAGAAGTGTGTTCAATTTCATCAACGATTAGTAATCATATCGAAGGATTACAACGAGATATACAATTTAAGCATGTTCGTTCAGATGCTTTCCAGCACCTCGATCATATGTCTGACTGGTTTTCAAGCTGTTGTGGTAAGATACTGTGACTCGATGAAGATATAATCGCCAGCTCGTGTGTATCATGATCGATTTTCATCGGTCGAAACAGGTCGGAGGGCAAAGTTCGAATATTATGAAGTACGGGATTTATCTTAGCGCGGCTATGTCTCAACTCTTCTACATCTGTTGGTTAGGGAACGAGCTCTGTTACGCGGTAAGGATTAATTGGATCGATCAACAACGTTTTTAATCGCTGAGCGAATCACTGAATGAAATTTTACCGCTCATCGAGCGTTAAACGGATTATGCGAAAAAAAAGAAAAGAGAAAAAGGAAGGATGAATCATATGAATTATTATATGAATTATTTCGTAGAGTTCGATGTTGGACAAAAGTCAATGGTTCTCGGGATGGCAACACGAGCGTTTGACCGATATCGCTCAAGTGTTCACGTTATCCACGGTGTTCACCAGAAAATCTATAATTCTAAGAGCAAGTGTATTTTACATTCTGTCTTTGGAAACTTTTATCGTGGTTCGTAGATGATGATACACAGATAATTTTATTATACAAAACAAAATAGCGTTTCATCCAAAGAATACGTATTCGCATTGCAGATTATAAAGAGATCTTACTCGTTTTTTACCTTATTGAACAACATGGATTTAACGGATCATTAACACCGTCGTTCTGCCGTCTTTATTGCCGTATTAACATGCAAGAAGACGCGCAAAGAAGCATCGATTCGTAATATTCCCCGGTTAAAAAACGGTAAACGGAAGCTTTGCCCATATCGTGGTTTCACAACCATGTAAAAGTAAGAATAGAAACCCTATTTTTTGAAAAAAAATTCATCAATGCTCGTTAACGTTCTCGACAATCTGTTCCCTCATCACGCTCGCGGCGGAATCCTGTTCGGGCCAATAACCTTGCAAATTAATAGTCGAACGAAATTGTTCGAGAATTTGCCGATCCTTTCTGTTTGTACGCTAATAATGGCGTTACAATAATAAACTATCTGCAATTCTCTCAAAATTTATCAATATTTGAAAGAGAGAGAGAGAGAGAGTCGAGAAATTGAACAATTAATTTCTTAACCGTCGCGAATGTTAAAATTATTCATTCGTGGACTGACGAATCGGAAGCTGATCGCTCGTCGAATCCGATTAAACGAAATTACGATTGAAAATCGACGACCATCGATTAATTTATTACTAGGCGTGAATGTCGGCGATAAAGTATCGACAAAATCACAGCGCGGATCGTTTCGCATGGCTCGTTAACGTCCGAGTTAAAACGTATATATATATATATTCGTCGTGGGCAAAGATGATGGAAATTCGACGGGGTAATTAAACGGCGAACGCCTTTTACCGCCCTCTGCCCATCCTCTGTTCATCACTGTGAAACACGAGAACGGCTCGTGTCTTACCAGGACTCCTCTCCGCGTTTTCAATCTCCCGTTTGATCTGACCGATGACTATCTGCCCTGATTTATAGCGCCCCACCTGCCTTCGTAACGCGGCTCCGTTTCATTTAACCGGGCTTACATAAATATCACTCCAAGCATTAACGAAACAAAGTGCCGTTTCCTTTTCACCTGTCTCGTATCGAGGATGGTTATTCTCGTTCATCAACGAACGGGACAAATTTTCGCGTTTTAAATTATTGTGAAATATTTCTCCCTATAAAAACTCCCTCCCCTTCTTCATTATTTTAGAGATAATAAGTTTATCGTATTATTGTACCGAATCGAATTGTAAACTCGAGACGCACGCGTTCGAGGAACAATAAATCGTAGAGTATTTCACGTAGGTGCAATATATTTCTTCTTCATATTCCGTGGCAAGGGGGCTGTCTATTCATCGACTTTTATAGCGCGCTCAATAAATTCTCTTCCGCGAGAGGAGAGAGAGAGAGAGAGAG